TTTCTGATCCGGATTGCTCATAACCGGAGTACTGTACTGGATTATCGTCCAATGATAGAGTGGTTCACAGGAAACGAACTCGCGTTCTATTTGCCTGGATTTGGGGGTCTGTTTTCTGCATATCATGCTACCACTGAACGTTAATCCCGTACAGCCACCGAAGTAGAGGCAACTTTACTTTCTCGATCACGTCTCGCGTGTTTTAGCTCACGGTAAAAAGATCAATCTCTAAAATATTGTGATTGTCATTACGATTTCCACATTCTCCCAAGTAATCCAAATGAAGTTCGCTGGAACTCCTTCTATTGTTTGAAAAATCATTCTAAAGGAAGGTTTTATTGATGAGTTAGGACATCTCAAATTGGGAGCCAAGTTTATCAGTCCCACTCATTTGTGTTTGGAAACATTTCCTTTTCCACTGGTCACACGCTATGCTTCAACACAGTAGACCTTAATCAATTGCATCTGCGTTTATCTTATATTTAATTGGTAGAGCGCTTCAATTTGCCCTCTTGCATCGGGCAAGCTCACTCACACTAATTTAGCCTGAATAATAATCGACCGCCAATGGCTTAAATATGCATCAAGATTCCACCGCGGAAATACCGTTCTACATTATTTTGAACTATTTTATCTGAATTGAACTCAACGGGGTTTATCATCCTTACAAAATCCAACTCAACGAAGTGAACAATAATTTCCGAAGCACTTTTGAGTAAAATCAAAGGAAGCACCAGAGATTGCGATTTTAGCAATGGGAGTTGAGTTTCCCTCCCATCAAATCATATGATAAGAATATTATCGATACACGTTCAAGTATGCAACTTCACTTCTGAGAACGGAATTACTTAAGTTTAGTTATCAAAAGATAATCAATTGNATTGGGCAGTAACGAGCAGCTTAGACGATTCGACTGAATGCATGCTGTCTTACTCAAAGCATTCCAACCTCGTAACGTACATAAAGAACGTTATCGATTATCAAAAAATGAGAACAGTGAAACACGTGTGGGCTAATAGATTTCGATCACCCGGGGAGAGCTACGTTTTCAAAATGGGATGACTCACAATTAAGATTAGCTTGGAAACAAGCAAAACTAAATCATGCCTAGCGGCTCTTTTGTGTATCATACAAATTCTTTAAAATTTAAGCCTGTGCGACTCCATTCCCCCCTCCCCCTGTAGAATGATAGTTCACATTGTTCACATGTAATTTACGTGTGGCTAAATCAACTCTATGATCCCTGAATGCACCACAGAACTATGTTAGGCGTCGACTGCCGTTAGTTAGCAATCATATGATAGCATATTTGCTCTAATCGCCGATGGGGCACGTACTTTGACAGGCTGTTTCTTGAGTGATTGTCTGCAGGTTTATCTTCTTAAGATTGAATGACCGATTTCGTCCTGAATTGAATATTTGCATGTGGTTTACACATTCCAGAGTCGCGCATTCTCATCGTTCGGAAAAGTAAATACGAATACTGGAAGCTGACAAACGTATTCTTTGAATGACGAGCCAATTGAGTGTAAGCTGATATCTAGTATGAAATTTTAGTTGGAATCCTATCTGAATTGTGCCAGGAGGCTACGTTTGTTTCTCCGTACAGCTGATATTTTTGTGTGCACAGATTAAAAGCTTTCCACTAAATGACAATACGAATGCTGCTCATTTGTTTCAGTGATCATTGTGGTGGGTGAAATCTTCCAGCCTTACTTGAAGTGAGCAAGCTGTAATTCGACGTCGTCATATAGCGACGCGTAAAGACTCAGGTCGAACATTCGTTTTTGTGAATTTGCTTTATTAACTTTCTCTTGGTTGAATAGAGTTTCTCTCCTCGGTTTGCTTTAGTTATCTTAGTTCTGCAAAAGGACAAACGATGCTCGATTGAATATGGCTCAGGTTAAACTGGCACTGGATTGACTATCGACTGAGATAATCACATTTTGTAATACCAAATGGGATTGCGAATCGTACTTCTGAGTTTCCGTCCGTACACAAATGTGAGAGTGTGTTGTCAACGATCCAGCGTAGAACACTATAAAACTGGCATCTAATTCTAGCAAAATATGAACCCTGTTTACCAGAGAACGAGTGAAGTGAAAATTTACAGAAAAAGCCTGTACAGACTTTCAGTTGCAAATTGTTCTTTCCTAATTCACGCCTTTTACTAAATAAACTAACGCATGATTCGCCCAAATCATTGATATTGAAAAAGTTTAAAAATTTAATTGCTTTCTTCTTATGCAATACACATTTGTACAAACAAAAATTTAGCAACGGTAATCAGACTGATTAATATTCTGTCATGTGGTACAGAAACAACAAGCGGGTAAGCGCTGGTAATGGGGTTTGGACTCAACACACTTGAGGGAAAATCCGGGCCACGCAGACACTAGGTTGAAACTGAAAATGTGTATCCCAGTCAATGGACTTCACCTAACTGAGATACTCTGTGTCGCTTTGAGATTTCCGGATTAGGCAGAATTCCCGCATACGTCCCTTTTAATCCACTGTTTTGATGATGCTCTTTTAAGGCATACGTTAAGTGAGTAATCTAGTAATCCATGTTCACATTCCTTAGTTAAGGTTGGAAAATGGAAAAGTGCGCAATGTTTCAATCATTCATGATCTTTCTTTCTGTTTGCGAGTTGGTAAAGAAATTTCATGTTGAGTGTACATGGAAAGAACTGGTGTAATAAGTTGGACACGTTCATACATTTGAACATGTTGTCTGAGGCTAAATGTAGTGCTTAATTTTGCAGCTTGCCAGCCACTCCAAAGGTACACCCTTCACCGTATGGAGAACCTGAACCGTAGCACAGAAGCCAGCCTCACCCCAGCTCTCAACTGCGAAGGGTTTGATCGTGATTGTGGATCAGGTGGAATCGGGGTAGTGGGAACCTAAGCCTGTAAATCTCAGTGGGATGAGAGGCAAAAAAACTGTACTACGGTTTTTTATGTTGGTCTATTCGAATTGGGGAAGTCCTTCATTACAGCTCATAGTTTTTTACAAGTTAAAACAATGAATCTAGTTTGATTTTGGAACCCAAATGGGCGCTCCCCGTTGCACTACTCGTAAGTACCACCCTTGGTAATAACCGATGAAACGTTGCATTGGATGAGTTATGGTCAACTGAAACCGCAAAGGCAAACGTACATTCCCTTATTTCGATACGACTCTTTTATCGTACTTCACCATCGGACTTAAATGTTTAAAAGCCGATTGAAACCTCAAACATTAAGAAGTTTGGACTGTACCAGCGCCCATCAAATTACTCGCCATCTTGATTTACACAAATCCCAATGCCTAATTCTCGAGGAAAAAGCCATGAAATGTACCGATATCGTTTACTGTACAACCTTTTATGTTTTGTTCAAAGGACCCAATCAGCAAAGCTACATAAGTGACAATTTGTTCTTACAATCAGCAGTAATTCCTATTTCCTATAGACGGTGGTTTTCTGATGGTGAGAAACCCGAAGGAATCTCGTAAAATCGCACTCAGCGAGCTACTATTCTGATTGAGATCAAAAATTACGAGTGAAAACTGTATTTCTCGAACAAGTATGCAGAGTAAAAGCAGATATTTTGCTAAGTCATCAGGTGAGATTGTAATGGAAATTATCCCGACCCAAGACTGAGTTTTCTCCTAAGGAATACGGATGGAATCGAATTGCATCTGTGACCCGCCTTCACGCTTGGTTTGTTAAGTAAAATCTATTCTTCGATTTTTGTTGATAGAGGTACATAGAACGCGATGACTGATTCGATTTTCCTTACGGGTACACTGAACTCCAAGCTTGACTGTGTTTGAAAGTAATGTGTGCATCCGTTGCTTTTCTGTCGTACGTGTGTGTAAAATTTAACGGTGATCAGCTGAAAAACAGTCTTCGACAGGATTTCACCCGAATCGATTGGTTGTGCTACGGACTAGAATTTGAGTTGTTGAATAAATTATACATTTAACCCCACAGGAAAGAAGAAAACATTGCAAGTTTGTTTTCGCAAAATTCGAGTTTTTTAACTGTTCCAATGAATGAACTCTATATTGTTTAATACGTGTCTATTCATAGATATGATCCGAAGGTGCGCCCTGCTTACTGATGCATGACTCGTGACCCGTATGCTGCCAATAATACTCACGATCAAGGTTATAATTCCAAACAACCCCTCCAGGTTTTATATACCTCTGCACCTACTCCCACACGGATAGCAATCAGCAATTATCTCACCCGGCCGATCTGCTCTAACAGTTACCTCATCTTAACTGCCACCCACATATCCGTCGTGTAATCACTGGTTCGGATCCTGACCGTTGCGCGGTTGAAAAACACAAGTATCCTACATATCGATCGTTCATTGGTACAGTCTGTACCGCACTCACACACGCACACACAATTGTGTGCACATCAGCTACGCTCACACACGTGTTCACTCACGGACGCACGCAGGCAAGCGCGCACGTACATGTATTGTGCGCAACGCGTGTGTGTCTGTCGATCGAGTAGCACCACAAACGGTCTGCACGGCCTGCGCCAATCAACCACGCGTATGGCACAGATCACAACGATTGAGTTAAAAACCGGTGACAAATAGGGCCCGCAGGCCTAACCGCAATTCACGTGTTTGCACGACGTAACCATTTTCATTATCAATTTCTCGTCAACGTGTTTTATCTGTGCACAAGTGACCTTCGTGTCCCCGACAAGAATTAGAGGGACCGCTCTGCAGGGTGTTTTTGCCGATCCCCGTCAAATTCATCCTCAACCACATAGTTGAAGTGATAGAGGAACACTAGTATATCCAAAACACCTCACCTCACGGTGGATCTCACGTGGTGTGAAGGGAACAGTTGAAACGTACTCGTACTCTGACAACGACGAACGGGATTTGTATGCGAAACAGACCTGTTGTTGTTTTTGTTCTTCTTCTTATCTGTCTCGCGGACAATTTGTGCTTTTGACGAAGTCCGGATTCTTTGATATTCGTGGAGAAACATGGTTTACAAATATAAACTACCGTCACGTTTACAACACGGGGATGCTGTGGAACTACGCGGTCAGGCCGGTGATGACAGGTATGTGCTGCGTACGTGGGTTTATATTTTTGGAGAATTTCGCTAACGTTATGAATGTAAGATAAAATATGACCATTTCGGCACCCGTGTTCCGGGGAATCAGCATGCATCGAAAACCACTGGTGGAATGTTTGAAGAATATAAGACAGGACAATCGTAGGTATGCAAGTGCGATGTAATCACTTTTAGTGACATTACTGATAGACGAGTTTGATGTATTCTTATGTATTTTCCAATTTCTAGGTCATTTGAAAAACATATGACACTGAGAAAATCTCAGTAAACAATAATCTTGGTTTAGCTTTAAATATATTAGCTGCTGCATCACAAATTACATTATCTTGTTTGATGGGCAGAGATTCGCCACAAGCAGAGGGAAAATCCCAGTTGCAAGAAAAATGAAAAACAGTTTGATCAGTCGCTCGGTGACTGAGTGGGTAGTATTCTTGGGTTCTACCCGTAGTATACCCCGTTCGTTCCCCAGATAGGTCGATCGAACCGCACTGCTGATGATGCCCAATCAGGTCGAAACAGCTGTCCAGTACCTCCTAGCTTTTCAGTTAATATTTTGCTTGCTCTTTACACCATGAAATAAACCATATAAACATTTTAATTCCATGGCCGGATGTTCTTCATAATTTGGTTATCACACCGCAGTCGTTTCTAATCGTTAGGGGGATGCTGGGTCATGCTAAACCGAACACTTTTGGTGAGCTAGGCACTTAGGTGGATTTCGATCACTTCCATCTTGGTCAAGATGCTGCCCCTGATTCTGTGTGTGACTGCGAACTAAACAGAAGGGGTGAAATGCTTCTGTCACGTGACTGACCCCATAATGTGTGAATCAATGTGCGAATTCATAGACTTGGTTATTCCACACCACCCAGTTTTGGAATAGTCAATATGAATTGTCTCACAGAAAAAAATAATTGGTGCCAATTTACAAAAGTGGTGATGACCAAGCTTCAATCGGTGACTAACCTACTATTTAAACGCTGCATTTAAGTCGCATCATGTTGTGCAGACGAAAGGATACATTACAGCTGAATATCGAACGGACTTCTTTGTTGTCTGCTTCAGTTTTATAAATTGGATTCAGCTGGTCTTGTTTTCAGATTATTTACGTTTCTCATACGGTTTAGGATGGAGAAGAGCCAACTGTTCAACCTGTAGTTTACCGGGCTCTTTGCCTCTGATAAAAATCATGGGAAAGGCGATGATCAGTGAATGATATCCGCGACGTTGAATCACTTCATCCTATTGTTCCTGTCATAGAGAGGAATGAATATTTGGGTGACCATATCCCGGAAAATAATATCCAAATTGCAGTGGCCCGAGAAAAATTGAAACAGTGAATGTGGTTCTTCATACAGAAAGTTCAATTTAAGTGCACTGACGAAATCGATTTGCTAAACGAATGGAGTAGCGATGACATCCCCGCTCGGTCCTTTATTTGCAGAGTTGTCCATGTTAAAGCTAGAGAACATAGTTTTTACATCAGGAATTACGTGACGTAAGCTGTCCGGACGATTTGTTGGGGTCGCACTGTTTTGTGGACAACAACTTCAAAGTGTTCAGCTTGCTGAAACAGGTGATTCTTCCACTTTAACTTCATTACAAACTATACAAAGTCTATATGGTTCAGTTAGTACCGCCATTTGAGAAGTACGGTACAACTCAAATGATTGCGAAGGTTGATTTTATGTTTTGGTAAATAAGCTGGTGAAAATGCGAACGTATGACAACATCATTTCGGAACAATCTTTCATCCGTGATTCGTTACCACCAAAAAATCTTGCATAACGTTTTGTTGATAGCATTTTCCGAAATCGTCGTCCGCTGGAGAAACTGTTAGACGTCGAAAGGAAACCGTTTATGCCTCTCTCTCTCATTCAGTGGGAATAGAGTTGCAGAGTTGGTTAGCCGTGAACGGGAAAATTGTGTGTTGTATTCATGACGAGACTGATCCTGTGTTCGTATCGTAAACACGAGATTCCTGTTTCTGCAATGTGTTCCTGTTTGTGTTCTTGTGGGGCAAAGTATTGAGGCCTCATGAACAGGAGACTATGTACTAGAGTTTGTGAATATCATCCAGTTAGGCTGAACACTGGTGAAATTAAAACTATTAACTGTACCATCGTTTCAAATCTCGTCGTGTCCGATCACACAAATGGTGTGAATGAAGCATTTTATCCTCTTTACCTAACCCCGGACGCTATTGATGAAATGAGCGAGGTCCTTGGCCTGCAACAAGCTCGAAAAGATGGCTTGTGCTATATCGTGTAAATGGAAAATGAAAAAGCAGTCTGATCAGCTGCCCCGTGGTGGTCCCGGGTTCGATTCCCTGTTGGGTCGATGAATTCGCACTGCTGATGAGACCCAATCAGGTCTAACAGCTGTCCAGAGCTTCTGAGCATTTTAGTTCACGCTTCATGTGCTATAGACACGATGACTTTACCATTTGAAACCGTCTCTACCTTGTTTGGGGTTGCCGAACTAAGCCGATAAACACCCGCATCGTAGTCATCGCGGAGGCGGATAAAATTCGCCTACATAACCCCAACCTGTGTGCGCCTAGAAGTCAGTTTGTGAAATCACCCAGTCCCCCATAGCTCTCCGCCTCCACCACCCCAAATCA